TATATCTCTATTTTTCTTTTCTACTTGTAAAAAACAGGTACACAGTCTTAGCGAAGGGTGAATATTTGGACATTGGATTTGTAGTTTTGCCTGTCTTGAATCTAAATATTTTCACCATTTTCAGAATCCCTGATTTAGTTCTTTGCGTAATCATACTAAAACAAAACAGAAAAAAAACTTAGTAAGACAAACAAGTTGATGTAGCTAAGTGGATGAAAACCACCAATAAGAACTTCTCCTTTGGATCACCCACCTGCCCTGGTTGGGGTCTGTGCCCTCCAGCATAGTGTAAAGATACTGTCTTAGTTGAGCTGAATGGGACCCATCCACATAAATCACTGAGAGAGACGACAAACATGCCATTAGGAACTCCCACATACAGTTTACAAACAGAAAGCAAACACGCCAATTAAGTCACCTCGTGTAAAGTTGTAGTGAATCTCCTCCCCGTTCACAGGTTTACGAAGAGACATGGGAGTCTCTGTCGTCTCCATGGCAACGCCCAGGAGACGGTATTCCACGTAAACACGTTGCACAGAGCGATCCGACACCACTTGGGAGGACGGTTCAAACGTCAGGGACAGGATCTCAACTCTAAGCTTGTCTCCCTGAAAAACAGCAACTATCATGTGGCCCACCACACTTTACAGAAGGGTTCATTTTATTTTTAATACTAGACTGAAAAAAAACAGAGGTGTCTTGGCATCTTGAAAGAAGTCTTGATCAATATACTTTTATGCCATATATGAATAACAGTGTTCATAAGTGGTACTTGAGTGAATGGGCCCTAAATGCAATGAAATAAACAAACTTCCAAGCAAAGTTATTGCCAAAAAAAATTATTATTGTAATTAATAAGAAATAATTCAAAACCAGACAGAGAGACAAACTAAATAAAGTGTGACCAATTTTGATATGTAAGTAAGTACAGATGATTTAATGCAAAGGATGCTATATACCATCATCATCATCTTCTTGGTACCAATTTAAGCTTATAGATCTAGGAAAATTAGAGCCGCAATATTATTGTCTATGTCACACTTTAGTTTATGAAAACATTGGCAGACATTTGGAAATCCTGTTTAAATATGCAGACAGACCCCTTTAAAATATCTCAATACACTCTGACCCTTGGAAGTAAGATATAAAGTAAGATATAAAGATTTCAGCATTAACTTCAGAGTTTCACTGTACTGTATGCCACAATATCTGAAAGGACAGAGCAAGCTGTACTTCTTAAGTAAGTTAGGTCATTCAGTGTTCAGACTAATAGGCTGCATTTCTTC